ATTGAGAGGGGGGAGATGTCTTCTTGGTAATTAAAAAGTTCTGTCTGTATTCAGAGCACTTTTGAAATATTGAGCCTCTAAGTTTTGGTATTAAAGGTTGTTGCACACCAGCGAATTAGCGAGCGAACTTGCAAAGAAAATATATATATATTTTTTTTTAAATGTTATGAAGTCAATGCATGCGTCCACACTGGCTACAAACTTCCACAGGGCGAAAAAGCAATTTTAATATTTTTCGCCCCTGTGGCAAGTTTTGCGAATATTCGCAGGTGAACTGCTATATAAAGATAGCCTAGTATAAATCTTACCTCAGACAATCGGCTCGCTGTAATTTGTCTTATCCTTTTACAAACATGGAGTCAGCTGATGCAGCAGTTCTTGAAATTGTCTGAGTGATATTCAGAAGTATTGTCTGAATATCTCGGGATACAATTTAAGCTCCTGGATTGTTGTGTGGAACTCCCCTATCTTCTGTAGCAAGGTCAGTATTGGATGTACCCAGACACTTTGATTCTTCTTTTTCTTTTTGTTATTTAATAGGCTTACAACCATGACCAGTTCATCATCACTTGAGGATGTAGTCTCCATTGTTTCTCCTTCTTCTCTCTCCCCCTCTGTTCTCCTGTGCAATTTTCTATGTGTGTATATATGTGGATTTTATTCACGCCGCACCAGGTATGTATAGGAAAAGGCATAAGTCGAATATTTCGCATTGTTGTGTCGCTTTGCTAATTCGCTGGTGTGTAACGACCTTAAGAATGAAAAAATCTGATAGTTACTACATGTTTATTGTTTTAATCCTTTTACAGAGTGTCTTGTAGTATTTCATCTTTAAGTGTTTTTGACATACTTTCTGACATTTTTTTCCCCATTAGGATCATTTTTGATCCATGTATTAAAGTTATAATATTTTTGTCGTGATCTAGTGTGAATTTTATCTACCAAAGTTACGATGATAAATGGTTGTCAACAACCCTTTTTTAAACGACAAAGACCACAGAATGACGAGCTAAAATACATCACTGTGAGGAAAAGTTCTGGTGAATATAGGTTTCTGTTCCCAGATACTGTCGCAAATATCCATCAGTATTTCCATCAGTAGAGACATTTTCAAGTTTTCAAAGCACACATTCAAAGCACTAGTTTTGCTCCACATCAGGCTGTCAAGTTTGAACCATCAGAAAAGAAACAGTGAGAGAAGTTATTATTCATCCTTATTCTGTCTGTTTTAGAACATTTTTCACAGTGCACTGCTAAAACTTGAGTCAAATGATTATTCATAACAGTTCAGAAAAATCAATATTTGTAACGAGGAGTAATGGCAGTAACCTTATGTGATTGATATTCTTGTCAGACATTCAAATCAACTTATTTAATTTGAAACCAGTAATTGATTTTACTTTCTTTCTGTTATTCAGAGTAATTGCTCAATTGCAACAAAAACGATGAGTTGTAAAAATTACAGCTTCCTTCTTTTAGCAGCACTGTGATAGAGTTGCAGTTGAATTAATGAATGATAAGTCCTTTATCCATCAGCTGTGTTTATCAGTGTCAGCCTATATTTTAGGAGGAAAAATGAGGAAGTCAATGAGCAGAAACAGAGGATGAGTGAAGGCTACATGAGTCCACCATTAGCATTCTGCCAGCATTGTTTAGCAGCGACAAGACGAGCTCTGTTGTGTGTGTAATTATGTTATTAGCTTTTAATACTCATCCCCATGCAGTCATTTTATTCTGGTAGCGTTTCTCGTCCCAGTGATGTGTCGCTCATTGCTGCACTCAGCCGTTTCATTAGGGCCTAATTAAATTAACGTTATTTTGGTCCCGCCGTCAGCGACACACTCACTCATGAAGAGCAAAGAGTGTGCTTGCACTGAAGTGAAAGTAAAGTCCACATGCTTCTGATTGTGTGAATTATTCCAGTAAAGTGTTTGAATAAGTGAGGTGAATCCTGAGTTTTTGAATGTTTATGAATCTGTGTTTGTGCTCCAAGAAAAAAAACAGTTTCCACTGTATGAAATAAAATATAGTTAAACACACACATACACACACAAAAACAGAGTTTAATGCCGTTTTAAACATAGACTGTATATACTATGGACAACTTTGTTCCGCCTACCGCCTGTATACTGATTTGAAGCCAAATAGCTCTCGGTATTTCCGGGATTTTTCTTCATTTCCTGAAACCAGCGCTGCGCAGTAGCAATGCGTGCATTCGGCCACACAGTTGCAGAGAGTCGCTGTGATGACGCTCGGCTCAAACAGCGTATCCCAACGCCCATAGGCTGTATCAGGTGTCAATCATAGCAAACATGAATCCCCTAATAACTTTTAAAAACTGAGCTTCAAAGAAAAAAAGAGGACTTGAGCACAAACCAGTCTTACTGTAACTACATGTCAACATCACAAGCAGGGGGAAGAAAAATTTATGTTCTGTGTAATAAATTTCTAAAGTTTGTCCACAGCTCCATAAGCTTTGCTGGCGGAGGCGAGATTTATGACCTATACTGCAGCCCATCAACAGAAGGTGCTGTTCTCGGAGTGGCTTCACCCAACAAGGAGGCAGACTCTGTCCATTCTTTATACAGTCTATGGTTTTAAATTATCCACCATGGACACATAAATTAACATCAAAAGTTGGGATGTTTGTAACATAAGAAATCAGCATAATGTTTGTGGTTTGTTAGTGCTAACAAATCATTTAGAAGAGTGTTCCCTGCATTGGGCTCAGTGGGGGTGCCCTTGTCATTATACCCACACACATTGGGCTTTTCAGCAGGGAACTGTTCTCAGAGGAGCTGTAGGAGGCCTGACTGTTCATTCCAATAACAAATACCATTAACAAAGAAAAACTGAATGAATTGAAGATGGGTATATCATTGAAACACTATACAAGCTGAGCTCAACTAATGCTGGAAAGGCCACAACAGTCAAACCAATCACATCAGGAGCACAAATGACAGTACCAATGCTAAAAGCACTTGCATCAAAGTATGACTGAATTACCTTCATTTGGAATAATGAACTTGGAATATTCCTTAAAGCTAGCTTTCATCTGCTGCCTGAAGCTTACATTAGCCCAAGGAATGACACAGAGCTCCATACCTGACACAATGCTTTATAATCTAGTTTGGTCAAACAGAAAAGTAAAAACAGATGAAGCTCTCTCATAGTTCGTACACCATGGACAGAGATCTTAAGATGTCTTTGTATATACAGTTTGATATTTGACTAGCTAGCTTTCCTGCTAACTTGTGTGTTGCTTGTTTCGCCAACAGATCAACCAGTAGCTGGCCCAGTCATGACAAGCACAGTGGAGCATATTTCCGCTTACTTAAAGGTGGGGTAGGCAGGATCTGAGGAAGTGCCAGTTTTTGGGAGAAATCTTGAATGTAAACACTACCCCTCCCAACCAGTTTTCCCCTCAGCTCCTCCTCCCCCCTCCATCTCTGCTCCAGGAAGCCCCGCCCACAAACAGGCACTCCTGCTCGCTCGTATCGTTCCAATTAAATTCAGATATAATGCAGGTAAATACTTCAGATATTTACAAATGGAGCCCAGTCAACGTGAAATTAAACAGCATTGGTGCTTCTGTAGATGCCAACAGACTACCAGCAAATACAATGTTTGCAGGACTTCTACAACTAGGATAAAGTGACATAGTCCAGGACCCGAGGTAAACAGTTTAGTGGCGCTACAACACGCAGCAGGTCCTGTTTGACAAGAAACACTTCCGTTACAGACACTTGGCTTAGTTTGTTAAAGCGGTTTACCTGTGCCACTTAAGACCCCACAACCCTGCGCTTGGTCATTGCTTTGAAGAAACACACCCTCACACTTAATATGTCAAACCAGCCTGTACATGTATGTCACAAATATTCATGGAGACTTGTCTGACAAATACTCTCTTACACGCAGGTGTTGAGTCCTCCGTTGTGTCTCCAGTGTGTCCCTGCCCGGTGCCGAATCCTACATTCATCACACGCACACAGACACACACCTATGACCCGGTGTGTGCCAATGAAATGTAGACGGAAGGTAATTAAACAGGGATCAGGCTGCTCTTTATCAAGGGCTCTTCACTGCTGGGCTAAATTAACCTCTGCCCACACACACTCTAACACACACATTGTGCCTTAAGGATCCACACACACACTTCAGGGTGAATGCACATTTGCATTTAGAGAAAGACTTAGGGATACAGGCATAGGGATGCACAATGATATACCTTATCATCGGAATTTGTGTTTAGGCTTGCTGCAAGGAGTTTATGATTAGATCTGCTTAAATACACGATCAATAAATTACCTATTGTGGTCTTAGTACGCCAGAAAAGGCAGTGCACCATTTGAAGTGAGCACATGTTGATCACATGATCTGTGTATCGAAGTCCAAGTACATCTGAGTTTGGGTATTTGGGATTTGTTTACCAAGCAAACATCAAGTCATTGATAAAACATACCTGTTACCAGGTTTAGCTTGTTACAACCAACCGCAGAACCCCACCGCCAGCTATTCCAAAACCTGGAGCTCTGGACCTGCAGTTTAAGTCCAACCTGCCTCACCTGGAGTCAAGGTAAGAGCAGCTGAATACAAATGTGACACTTCAGCCCACTGCAGGCAGTAACATCACAGCTTTATTCCTTCAGACAGTTTCTTTTTAAACCAGTAGAACTAAACACTATTCATACTTCTCGCTGTTTTTGTGTCCTTCATTCCTGGATGGTTTAGAGGGATGAGGGGAAGTGTCCTGCAGTGATTGAGTTTGTCCAGGAAGAAGAAAAAATACATTCATCAGGTGTGATGCCAGGAAAGCAGCTGTCACCAGCTTTGGCTGTGGAGAGAGGAGAAAACCCAAAGTCACCATGAGATAGAGGAGGTCAATGTACAGTTTAACAGATAGAAAGCAGCTGTTGAGATGTGGCATTTGTCAATGAAAACTGTAACGTAGACACTATCACCATACAGTTATTCGTATTACTGTTTTTGTTGCTCAACAGGAAGAAGAATTTGAAAGAAGTTGTTCTTCTGCACACAGCCACACAACAGCTGTTAGCCTTTGTCTCTGCTTTGTTCTTGCTGTTGCTGTGGTTTGTCCTCACTTGTCCAGGTGCTTGTCTTGATCAGAACAGCGTGCTCCTCTGCCCAGCTGCTCGGCCACCTGTGGAGGTGAGACAAAACAGAAAAGCGGGGGCGAAGCAAAAAAACAAAAAGTGGTGGGATAGGAACAAAGAGAGGCACACTGAAGCCTGAAGACGGAGAGAGAAATATTCATACAAACACAAAAAAAGGTTACAAAGGACATTCTCCTTTTTTATTTACACAAAGAGTCTCAGGTCTGTGTGTTTTCTAGCTCAGAGTCTGTGTTTCATCAGTACATACTCAGAACTGTCTACCTGCTCATGTACAGGAATCAACCATCAGCAGCCCTGTGGAGCTTGTCTGAGAATAACAGCATAATGCTGTTTGCTGTGCAAGACAGCATGAGTAATAGCACTGAATTCCAGATAGGAGAGATATAACGATGGTCAAGAGGAGTGAAGTGAAATGTTCGGCTTTGTATATATGTGGGTGTCTGTACTACAGTGGCTAGGACAGAGGTTGAGAGTCTGCAGCAGACTCTCACACGTAGACAATTGTTTGATGTGAGATCACTTGAGAGAAAATCTTGAGCTGCCATTTGCACAGAAGATGCTACCAAATGTCATAACAACCATATCATGTCTATGACCTCCATTTACATAAGCCCACACTTTCTATTAAAAATATATCCCCTGAAGGGAAGTTTAGTTTGACTTCTGAACCCTACAAGAATCATCAGAGTCAAGAACACTCAGACAGGAAAATGTATGAAGGAAGAGTTGTTTGGCTTTGCTGGATAATGTGCAGCAGCTGTGGCGAATAATTTAGATGAAAATAACTTTAAAAAGTTGGACTTAATTCGCTTGGCTTTTATCTTACACTTCTGACATATTCTAGGATCAATGTGATAAGACATTTTAACAAGTCTAGTTTCGGTCAGACCAAGGCAATAACATTTTTTTTTTTGTTCAAACCCGTGACCGCTGCAGTGATCATGGTCCCCATACGTGGGGTGCGCTAACCCGCTCTGCCATCTTCCACTCCAATATTTATTGATTGAGTGATTCATTCATTCGTTTGTTTATTTATTTATTTTTTTAACATTTACAATATTTATTTTTTTGGGGGGGTTCCCATTGTCCAGTCCCAGATTTGTTTTTAAGCTATTGCTTTATATCCAGAAAAATCCACTTTACATGTGTGAAGGCAGTCTGCCTTTTGCTCTGGTTGTCTGCAACCATCTTAGCATGTTAGAGCAGGGTTTGAAGTCCTCCTCTTTTTTGGGTAAACAACTTCAGTGTTAGTGATCCTTGTGATGAGAATTTCTGATGTGATCATTTGGCTCAACAAGAAGGGGCTCTTTGAGCTCTCAAACGGCCCTCTGCAGTACTATTTTGGCTCTCTAGAGTTGGCACTTAGAGTTGAGTCATTTGCAAAAGCCTCATAGGCTACTGTCCACCTTAACCTTAATATACATGTATTAGCAGTTCTGGCATATACTTGTCTAACCCTAAACAGTCCTTCTGAGCATTGAATTTGTCTGTGAAAATATCCTGCGACCAAAATAATGATCCACTTGAGAGTGGAATAAACTCAATCCCTGTTAGCACAGGTACAGTTGGAGAACATCTCGATACACAGCAATACAGTCTTATTTCATTACAAACACACATGCTCACTGCATATTTATTTAAAGTTTATAAAAAATGGTAGATACCAGTGTCAAAGAAAGCATGTCTTGTTTCTAGACATGAGTACGGATCACTTGTCTATATAGCCACTTGTATTTGTGTTTGAACACTGGGTTTGCCTCAATAGATCAGCTTTGACAACACAACAGCAATGAGCTGCAGTAGAGTCTACAGGCTAGAAAAATCAACAAAGGTAGGAAAACCAGAAATTACAGAAGTGTATGTGTCAAGACGGTGAAATGTCTGCAGATTTGAAACCATTATACCAACTCTTATCTGATAATTTAGTTGGTTTCAAGAGGAAAAACATCCAAACGGACACCTGCAGACTTTCAGCTGAACCAAATCTTGAGTATTTGATAAAAATGAGATTGCACTTGGTTCACTCGGATGTGTTGTTTTAGACTTGCTAGATGAATGTCTTTTTAGAGTCACAGGGAGTATGTTAATCTTTGCTGTCAACTAAATTGCAAACAGGGGCAAACTCAGCGACAAATGCTGTCAGAATCAATGTCTGAAAAGAAGCTGTAAATCACATTTTTCAAAGTAGCATTGTAACAGTTTTATTTAGCAGTGACATAAAAGTGATAGCGAGTACAACACAAGGGATGATCTGCACACGAGGGATCAACATGAGTAATCACCAGTAACTGATTCCAATTATACCGGTTATGACAGTGCTAGAGGTGTATTAGCAGGGATCTTTTTTATGTTTTCATTTTTATTGTCATCTTCAAACCATCAATATCAAAAAAATAAAAATCATCATACAGTATTGGTTTCAGGAATAACAATTTGATATTTGCTGATATCGCAAAGTCAGACAAAATTTGATTTGATTCAGAAACCTGCAGTTGATATCAGACAATCTTGTGAACCAATTTACCACAACCTGTTACCTTTCACACCATGGAAAAAAAAAACACAATATTAGTATGTTTTGAGAATTTTATTGCCAAAGGCATTTACATCAAACAAAGTAAACAAATGTTTATCACTTTAAAGTTTTGCAGTTTTCAGTTTTATATGCACAGTATTTTTCCAGCACTCATCATCAAGGCTCTCTGGTAACATTTTAAGTTCTAACATTTCAGGGAACATTTGTGCTACACCATGTTAAATTCACATATTACAGCTTATTTGCTGTGCTGTGTAGCTTACCCATAAAACAGAAACAGTTTGTGTAATTCCTACATAGTTTATCTTGCGATGGCATTGTTTGCATATCACGTGCTCTGTCTTCAGATAGTCCATCTTTTCTCCAGAACTCCAAATACTTCCATATTGCTGATTTATCCACGAGTGAAAGTTTTTAATATCTTTTTCTCCGCTGCTAGCCATTACCTGTAAATCGCACATAGCAATGTTGCATCTTGCAGATGGGTGGAAACTGTCATAACTAAACGTGTGTGTGTGGGGGGGGCTTTCAAAATAAAAGTGTGTGATAAAAATGGGGATGGATATTGATGATTATACTTTCAATCCCTGTGACTAAATCATTGCTCAAACAATGGATACATTGATCCAAATTGATGAATCGTTATACTCCAAGTAACTGGTAAATGGACTAATACTTTGTGTTTTTTAGTCTGTCCGACCACCCCAAGGACTGAATACTATGAATCACATTCACTCTAGTTGTACTCTGATGGCAGAGCATGTTACAGTAGGGAACAATCAGTGTTCACTAATCTCCATTCACACATGCGCACACATGTAAGCTTATTAGGATTCAATGTCTTGTCTAAGGACACTTAAATGTGACTGCTGGAGCTGGGATTGAACTGCTAATCCTCTGATTGAAAGACGACTAAAGAGATTTGAATGTGCATTTAGGAAGGCTTGCCGGTAAGGAGTTGCAATAGCAGTATAATAAAGACGTGCACTCGAAGGTGTGTTGCATGCTGTAACAGCTGGAGTCTGCTGAGCAAACTAGCATAACTGGGCATTGGTAGCCACATGAACCTTAAATATTGGCTAGTCATCAGTCATGGCGTTCAGGTCCATTCAAACTTTGTGAGGATGAGTATAATTGGTCGAGGTGGAACATTTTAAACATGTCACCTCTCTCAAAATCAACAAGATACAATTTGATTCATAATGTCATTAAGTTTGATTCAACCCTTTTTAGCTTCAGTAAATACAATCTTGAAACCTGTCAGCCATTTTACCTGACCATAATACCATAACTGGCGCATAGTTCCACAAAATTTATGACTCAGTAGTTTAATGGCCTTGACTGGTCTATTCTGTATGATCCAAAACTTGATTTTTAATTTGTGATTGTTAGTGAATCAAATCAACAAGTGCCAAGGCTATGAATTCTTCCTCTGCCCTTGTGGCTTGGTCAATGAGAGGTGTGTAGATTAGTTTAGCAAGATTCTTATGAGCTCTCTGGACCATTTAAAAGTAGTAGAATCAGGGAATAAAACCTCAACAACTCTTTAACAAAATCTGTCTCTAGCTCACAACACCTCCAAACAACCATTTTTGAGCCACAGCGGTGTACTTGGGTATGTCTGTTGTAGGCGTATATTAGCATGACCCACTGCTGTTCCTTTAGCTGGCCTGGTCTCCTCAGCTCCTGGGGAAGATGATCTAGAAGCCCTCATGTCAGGCTAAAGTCACAGTCCTGTGCAGTCCACTGAGCTGCAGAATATTTAATTCAGGCAGGGTCTCAAGTCTGTGTATAGGAGCAGGGTGAAAGTCCCTGATATGCTGGCCCATGCTGACCCGCCAGCATGTCTGCTGAACCTGAAACCACAGCCCACATAACAGAAAACTCACAATTTATGTTTGCATTGAATTGAATAAGGGTGGAAAAATAACTGTCCATGAATCTCTAAGAGAAACAAACCAAAAAGACTTTGAAAGTAATTTACAACATAGAAACCAAAACAATGACACAGTTCCATTAATATCACTCCATTTTGGAGTACAATATAGTGTTAAACACAGTGTAGCATATGGACTGAGAATTGAACTGCTTTGTAACTTGATAGGAATTTATTGATGCCAATGATGCTGTTGATTCTACGTATTGACCCAAGGCTGATAAAACTGACTATCTCTCTGTGATTCTACTGCAGAATTTGATAATACATTTAGTTTAGGAAATGCCAGTGACTAAGGATTAACGTTGTGTTCACACCAAGCATTAATAAAATTATCTACTCCTTTAATTCATGCGTATGTAGACAAGCTAATGTTGTGTGTTTACAAATGACTCGCTTGATTAGCGTTTTTATATCATGTCTACGGAGCCCAAATACACATGTTGCAAAAGAGGAGAGAAAGACTTACAAGATAATCACACCTCCTTCCACTTTCCTCCAGCTGATCTCTTATTAATTCCTGCCTTGGTATTACAGCCAAGTTGTTTCTTTCAGCTCAGGT